CCTTGTCTCAAGGTAACATGTGGAAAGCAAAGCATGTTCTCTGCTATCTGCAAAAAGGAGCTCAGCATAACTGTTGTCTCTGAATTTTCTAACTGCAGCACTTCAACTTTAAATATTAGACGTGAGAGAGGGGGTTTCTGATTGAAGAAATTAAAATGTATTCACCTCGTAAATTAAGTTGATGCACGACGCCTGTGCAGGTGAGACCACTTATGCTCTCTCACAGTCATCCTGTTTTAGCTATTTACGTCTTTTAGGTTTGAGTCATCCCGTTAAACATCAACATTCTTCACTTCAGCTTTAGTCCTCACACTTCAGTTTCCTCCGGAGCTTTGAGTGAATTACCAGGTTAACATGTTCTCTAAGCTGAGAGCTAAAGACAAAAGAATGAATGGATTAGTCAGAAAGAGCATTTCACTGCCTGAGTGAGCATTTAACCGTTTGCATATTCTAAATTATTACCGAGTGCCTTGCAAATGTTTTAATTAATGCCATGTTGCATCCAAAAATCATTTCCCGCGATAGACTAACACAAAAATTAACAAAATTGTGGAGTAGAAGTAAATGGATACATGTTTTTCAAACTTTTTTTTTTTACAAATGAAATTTTGAAAAAGGTGCAGATTAGATCAAGAACATCTGTAAATACACGTTTATAAGTCTTGCCAAAGATTTTCAATTGTCTTAAGGTCTCAACTTTGACAGAACCACTAGTAAGTTACCTTTATTGAGCAACCGCTAACATTTTTATATTTAGCTCCATCCATTTTCCCATCAACTCTGACCAGCATTTCTATTCCCAAAGTAGAAAATCATCCAAACGGAATGATGTTGCAACAACGGGGCTGCTGCATCCAGGATGATTTCAGTTTTCCACCACACATAACATTTTGCATGTAGGCCAGAAAATTAGTTTTGCTCTACCCTGTTTGTTTTCTGTCCTATCGATAAGATTATGAAGAACTGCAAAAAGGACTTCTTACCTACAGACATTTTTCTAAGTCATAGTTGTAAAAGTATTTCATAACTCAAATATTTGTACAATAATATGTGTGATGTTAACACTATAGCAAGGACTACAGCAGTCAGTTTTTAAAGAATAGGCTTGACAATAAGAATAGAACTAAAAATGCCCTTATTGTCTTTATATGTACAAAATAAACAAAAATATGTCAACATTTTCTTAACAGGTGAAGGAAACAAAGCTTAGGAGAAATTAAACTGTTTTACTGGCTTAATACCAACTCTTCATTCTCCTGATAAATGAAGAGATACTGCAGTATCTTTTACTGCAGTTGGACAAATTTTAGAAAAATCTAACCTTTAATTTGAATAAATCTGATGAGGGAATAAAAACAGTAAGAAATAATTATTTTTAGCAAAAGTACTTGATGAGGCAACACTTTACCAAGGTCTGGAGACGGAACAATCTTCTTCAGTGGAACGTAAACTGCTAAGGACGTTCAGGAACCACAGCCCGACATTAACTGGAAACTGCTAGAAAGCCAGTGTTGCTGTCCAAAGTGAGGCAAGTTTTGCATTAACACGCACAGAAATAAGTGACAATAAAAGATCCAAAACTTACCCCCTCAAGCTTGACTGAAATTTCCAGCTATTTGCCCAGATGGACAAGCCAAAAGCCTTCTACAGCAGACTTTTGCTGTCAGACGAGACAAAAATTGAGCTATGTGGCTACAAGAAGTATACCTGAAGGACTAAAACCTAAAGACACCTATCATGTCTTTGTATCATCATGTCAAATTCACCTCAAGCAGCTAGATAATTGATTTTAAGGCAATGTTCCCTAATATACAACAAAGCAGGCACCATAAACTGTTTGAAAGGCATTCCCAAAACCCCAACTCTATGAAAAAGATGTGGATTTTACTAAAAAGCTGACGCCTTGTTAGAAGAAACCAGAAGTCATAGCGCACACTATGACCGAGACAAAACTCATCTCAATAAGCCTCAGTAGTAGTAAGAACAACAAGATTTGCCTCACTTTAAAAAGCCTTCAATTCCAGTTGTGTGTGCATACCGTCTGCATACATACTAGGGGATTATAGCTACTTTTCCCCTTCAATTAAAATGTAAAGGATCTAAATACTTCCTCCACCACTGAACGGCCGCTTTTCCAAAACCGCCAGCTTTTCCACTGCTCTCCCTTCAATCACGTGTCGGCCTCTGAGTTTTTCTTGACTTTTACCCCTGCTCACAGAGCCGGTGTGCCTCCGGGAAGCAACAGGGCTTAACAGGAATCAAAGCTGTCATTCTTGAGCGCACGTGAGCCCGCTCAACGCACTTCTGTCCTGGAGCGCAAATGAGGGAAAGCTTGTGGTTTCCAGGCTCTCCGTTTGGCCGCAGCAGCAGGATCATGCGACCAGGTATGTTGGTAATGCTGAGTAAGCCGCTGATGGCCGACCGTGGCTGCACTCCAGAAGACCAAGAAGCCAAAGGTGTTTAACCGGTGTGTTGTTGCGATTATTCGGCCAAAGTATCTTTATCCCACGTTTAGATTAGCTGCAAATGATGAGGGAGGAAGGGGGGAAATGGAGGGTTTGTTGCAAGTCACAGGAGAACAAGGGGGCTGTACCTGTACAAAGAAGCAGGACTGGTTCTTCTTAAACAGGGCCCAATTAACTAATAAAACTTTTTTTTTTTTAATACATGACTAATCAAGCTCTGTTTTGCCTCAAGTGTTTTCATTAATATCCATCTGTCTTGCATCTCTTAGAATCAAAAATGTTAAAATAATTAGGGACAAAATGACAATAAAATGTAGCAGTGATAAATTATTTAAACTGTCAGTTTGGAAAGTGAAAAGTAATAATCGAATGAGTAAAAAGCACAATGCACTCTCTAATAGGAGCTACATCGACTGTCAAGTTCAGGATTTATAGGTAAAATTTTAATTGCTTAGAATCCTTCATTTAATCGTTTTTGCATCCAATTCATTCACTTACATTTACGAACAGCCCCATTTACTCTGATATTCCTAAATAAAATCCATTTCAAACAATGGCCTTCAGAAGTTACCTCAATTGTAAATGTAAACAGTAGTCCACCAGACTAATCCCAGGATAAATGTTTGTTCAAGGACATTAGTGATCAAACAAGCACCATGAAGACGAAGGGACACAGAGAAAAGACTGGAGAAGTAGCTTTCAACATTTTGCACAGCACAAGTGAAAAAAAGCATGGCACAACATCAAACCTGCCAACACACGGTCATCTACTTAAACTTGACAAGCCAGGAAAGAAAAAAAAGGAGCATTAACCAAAGAACCAACCAACCAACCATTGGTAGCCTTGGAGGAGATGCAGACACTCACAGCTCAGGTGGAAGAATCTGTCTACTGGATGCAAAAGATCATAAACACACAGGTGATAGAGACAAGAAAGTTGTTCAGAAATGACAAGAAAATGACAGTAAACACGAGCAAATCAATTGTAAAACTATAATCAATTTGAGCTTCACCTTCCAGCAGAACAAACCATACAGACGGTTACAACATAACTGTGTTTAGATGCATTTGCATAACCCAACAATAATCTAGCTTCAATGGTAGCAAAAGGTGATCCTATAAGGTTTCATGTCAGGGAGGCTAATTACAACGCACTTAACATTTTGTAGATTTTTCTTCTTAATCATAGAATGCAAAATGTTAGAAATTAACAAGTCTGAACTGGGGTTATATTTAATATTTCTCTTGTACATGATTAGTACAAGGAAAAAGCTTTCTGCCTTCCTTTCACTTTGAGAAAAACAAAAAAAAAAAAACCTTTGCTCCTCTAAAATGTGTTTACAAATAAATGCACAGTAACTCAGCCAAGCTAATGCATTTCCAAGCACACAGCATTTTAAATAAACATGTGTTACTAAACTATTCCAGTAACTAGTCGCTCCTGTTCAGCTTTTTAAAAACGTCAAGGAAAAATGTTGACTTAAATAAAAAGTTAAATTTCTATCTTTTTTTTTTTTTTTTTTTGCAACTTTGATTACTTATAAAACCTGAATATTGTTCAGATCAGTCAGCAAATAAAAGTCTGTTTGGAAATTAGACTACAAACTGGATTTATTTCCATTTGAAAATTAAAGTTTGCATTACTTTAGAGCATATTTATCAACATAATACTCATCCATTCTGAAGATGATTTTATGCAGAAACCCTTAACAAATTAAATTAAACATCAGTGAAAAACAACAACAGAGCACATTAAAAGCTTTATGCAACCCCAAAAAAAAAAAAAAAAAAAAAAAGAAGCTGACTAGAAAACAGGTAACATCACAGTGTGGTACTTTGGAGTGCTCTTACATTGTGTCTAATGTCTTTATTTACTCCCCGGCCAACCAATGTGCACCCTCAGCCCTCACCCCTCCTCCTTACAGCAGTTACATGTCACCACTAATGGACATCAAGTGCTTCCTTTTTGCAGCTCTCTTCTGGACATACATTAGAGACAGAAAACCCATTTCTCCATCCATAAATAGAGCACATACAGCTACAAACACACACACACACGCACGCACGCACGCACACACGCACACACAAACACCTGGGCACACACACATGATATTCAGACCACTCACTTTCTATAGTGACAGCAGGATGCACTTAACAACCCAAAGATTGTTAACAAGTTAAAAAGGAAGAAATGGCAAAAGGAGGATTAAAAGGATATTGTGCAGATATATTAACCATCTGATTAGTTTGCAATGTTAGAAGTTAAAGTGATTAAACACAAAACCTGCATTAAAGGTATTAATCGTGTAATTTGTGACTAAGCAGACTTGTTGCACATTTAAAAAAAAAAAATTAACATTTAAATTATTCATGATTCACACGATTAACTTAGATTTTTATTAACCAATTCATGTAATTAAACTGTAAATTTCTGCATTAAAGATCCCAAATGTAATCATTTATATGTTTTTGTTATTAATAATTCAGAAATTACCTCCTGGACAATGAATTTTAAGAAAAGCTCCCAACAGGATGTGAAAGCAAACATTTAATGAACACAAACCTTTCTGGACATTTTACAGCCGAGTGCATTTCTATTCTTCCTAATTATATATTGATCCATCCTAGTCTTGTGAATATTCTTATTGGTAAGAAGAAAAAAAAAAGTAAAAAAAAAAAAATTTGCTCTTTAGTCTTATGTTTATGGAGTCCAAAAAAACACCTCAGAAATTGTGTTGTGATGGATAACAACACAAGTTCTCCAAGTCCAAAAAAGAGTTTATTTCAGCTTTGTTTGTCCTGAATGTTCATCAGGCTGTTGTGTGACTTTGCTCGCTTGGCTGTAGAAAGACAAAAACAGATACAAAATCTTTTTTTTAATAAAGCACAGATGATCAAAAATGAAGTTTGGAAAAAAAAAATAAGAAAGAATCTGAAGCTCAATAAAATGTGTAGTTTTCTAACAACGTGCTTTACCGGATTAGATCTGCATACAGCACAATTACTGACTAAAGGAAAAGCTCGTCTTTAATGTGAGCATTTTGACCACGTCGGAAAGAACCTAAAGTGATGCTGTGAGGTTAAATTCACCTCCTTTTCTGGTTTAGGAATGAAGTCTTAATTTAGGAGATTGTTGTCTCCATGCTGATTCTGTCTCATCTGATGCCACCAATAATCACCTCTCACAAAATCTACTTACAGTCTACTTGTAGAAATAAATAACCTGCATATTCCACTTTATTTGAAAGTTTATCTTCTCCATATACAACAGTGATTTTATAATGTTTTCCATGGTTCTGAACTTGGGTAACTGTTGTTACTTCGATTCAGGAGAAAAATTGTTACCTTCTCGTATTTAATTTTATTTTATTATATTTCATCGTCTTCATTTGTACTGGTGTGTTATGCTTACCTGTTGGAATCGGGAAACCGCAGATATCAATTTTTAACCAAAATATAAACACACACATACAAACTAAAACTCTTCTATAATCTATAATCAAATCCACAATATCACAGTCAATCCACCCCTCCCAAACCTCAACCACAAAGACCCCAAATCCCTCAAATAAACCCAGTCAAAAAATCTCCCTGCGTGTGACAATGGCTGAATTAAGCTGGTTACTCACGGTGTATGAGCTTGCGTTTCTTTTGTTCCGAGTGAAGGAAGCTGCTCAAGTAGAAGATGATGGGCAGAAAAAGCATAAAACTGGACACGGCGATGACAGGAATCGTCTCCCCGTGCGGGTAGGAGCAACCGAAGTTCTTGCTCCAGAGTTTGCGGGTCATATTCATCTGAAATGAGTCAACGGGTTCAGTCGCAGCAGACCTCATCAGTCCCAGAACAGCATTAACTTAACCTGATCAAACCTTCCCTTCAGATGAACATCTACTTTCTGCTGCTATTGTAGATTAGGAACAAGTGCTACTTGTTCCTAATCGCAAGTGGAATGTCATGTTCCTTATTTTATTGAGTCCAAATCAGTTTAGTTCTTTTATTTTTCCTCACACCTGACCAACAGTAAGTAGTTCAGAAAATGCAAAAGAAAATATATATATATATATACATGTTTAGACATCTTCCTGTAGGAGGTGCAGTTTTCCCTCTTCATAATAACGACTCCCCCCACACACATCATGTACAAATACGTACCGAATCCTCCAAGTCAATACACAGGGTGCTATTCTTCTCCATTCCACTGTACATGTCATTCAGATCCTTATAAGGAAGTGTACAACTTTTGCACAGTTCTGTATGGTTACCCTGTATGGAAGAGTGTAGAAAAAAAGTCACCAGAGTCCATTTATGGAACAAAATATATGAAAAAGAAAAAAATGACGGATGCACAACCAGATCATGTCGTACCTCTTTATACTTCTCAAAGCAGGTGATGGTTTGATTGAGAAGAGTCAGGTAGTAAAGTGTGTCATTGTTCGGGCCTTTTAAATCCGTAGTGACACATTCTGTAAAACAGTATTTTAAAAAAAATAAAAATCAGCTAAACAGTTGTAAGATGCATTACAGCATGTGGAGGCATTTTATTACGTCTCATAAGATTCTCAAATGATAATAAAAAAGTGGGATGAAGACACAATTAGTTCATAATGAGATACAGACAAATATTTCGAAATACAGCAGATGCGTTAGTTCTTGTGTATTTTTATGACTTGTTACATTTTTGAGGGTTTAGTGTTGCATTGAAGTAAACATAAAGTGAGTACACTCCAAAGTTAATATCATAAATGAGGTTAATGTTGAGACACTAATAGGAGAATAAAGCTTTCTAAACCTAATTTGTGTTTTTTTTTTTCTTTTTTGCAGTACTTCTGTTTTGTTTCTACTACCAAATCTCTAAATATAACTTCTCCGACATTAGGAGCAGAACTTTTAGCTTTTTAATCTCATAAATATAAAAGCAGTGTGACCTGTTTTTATTGCATTTTCAGGAGAAGTTTCATTGCATATTTCATATTCTTGTCACCCGTCTCGTACTCTACATCTGGTCACACTGTAATGAAGAGGGGAGCTAATGTTACTGGAATTTAAATCAACACTCTAGATTGGTCAGCAAGGGAATTCACACCCTTTGGGACATTTTCATGTTACAGTCAAAAACTTCAATGTATTTTGGAAGAAGGTTTTCTGGTCAGAAAAGCCTAAAATTGAATTTTCTGGCATAAAGCTGGTTCTATTTAGTGTTGACCCAGCGGGACCAACTACAAATGCTTGCCACACTTCCCATATTTTTTATTTATTCAATGAAGAAACTCTTTATCATTTTTTCCTCCACTAAGCAATCGTGCATGTCTATCAGTTGCAGTTGTAGCAACAGTAAATGTGTACCCTGAAACAACAACACTCTTCTGCCGACATAAAAATTTGTAAGTAAATCTACCATATCTGATCCAGTTATAATCATTGAATTTTATCCAAGCCCATGAATGAGGACAGTTTGAAATTCCAGTCATTACAATCTGGGTCACATGTTTATAGGGGGTGTGCAGTTTAAAGACATGCACACTCTATTAAAAAAAAAAAAAACCACACACACACACAAGCCAGAGAATGTGTGTTGTTTATAATCCTATAAATCTATTACTTTAGAACTTACGTTTACAATTTGATTTTTCCCAAATGGTATCCAGGTTGCCGTAGAGAAGGAAGACGAGCATCAGTCGGTCACTGCGCAGAATGCTGTCCCGACAGCTCACATTCCCAGGGCCCATCTGAAGAGACGAACATTCAATTTAGGTATACGTGCAAATATATATTTATTTGAGCGCTCTAATACATTTTTATTACCGATGCAATACAATTACATGACAGGGAAAAGGGAGCTTCCTCAAATTTCACAGTCACATTACTAAACTCGTGACTGAGTCGACAGCGCATGAGCAAATCCAGCTGAGAGCTTAAAATTAAAACACAGAAAAGATATTTGTGTTCCATTTCGTACCTGGTCTGATGAGATGTTCAGGAAGACGTCGGAGAGGCTTTTATACCCTGGGGAGCAGTTCTGGCACACTCTGACGGGTCGAGCAGCAGGAATCAGGCAGTTCACATAAGCTACATACCGCTGACCGAACAGCCGGAGCATCTCTGAGCAATACTCGCTGATCTCCACGTCTTCAGGGAAGGAGGACAGCAGATTGATGGAGTACGAAGAGTCCACAGCAGGCTTGTAAACAGCAGAGGAGCTGTGGCTCTGATAACTGGGAGCTTGTAGCGGGTTTGCAGCTGAATCCGAAGCGGTGACGTTCACGGCATCAATAAGTCCGAGAGAATAAATATTTAGAATTATAAGTAGAAAACCCAGCTCATATCTGTGCAGCGACATGGCTGAAAAACAGTTTTGTTTTGGCCAGTCACTCCAAACAACCCATGACTTCCTCGTTTTCAACTAGCATGGTCATGTGACTTGTGATGTGAAGTCTCGCGAGAAAGCCCCGGGTCAAAGTACTTGAACTATAAGCCGGATAACACTTTGAGCATTTAATATGTGATCATTTAAACAAAACCCGAAATGAAGACAATAAATAAACTCATTTAATAAAATCACTGATGTTATTTTAAATAATCTGCTGGTTTTAGCAGAGATAGTTTTAATTTATGGTTTGTTTTTTTATGCACAATAATACGCATGCACATTTTATCAACTGTACAGTATTATTTTTTTCATATTGTAAATTTGTAATTTTTGTACAGTTTTTAATTGTTGCCTTGCCGTCGTTTGAAAATATTATTTGCTGTTGTACAGCTTAATTTTCAATATAAAATTTCAAATATAAATTTTAATTCCATGCATTCAGGGTTTTTTATATGTGCAAATATGTTGTTGTTTTTTTAATTCATTTTTATTAATGCTAAAATGAAATAATGATTCTTCCATACATGACAGGGAAAATAGAGCTTCCTCAAATTTCATAGTGGCATTATCAAATTTGTGACCGAGTAGACAGCTGCGAGCTTAAAATTAAAACACAGAAAAGACATTTGTGTTTATTTTGTACCTGGACTGATGAGATGTTCAGGAAGACTTCGGAGGGGCTGTTATACCCTGGGGAGCAGTTCTGACTCACTTTGAGGTGCGCTGTTTTTGATACAAATTGCTTAATTGGGGGATCAAAATTAAACATGTTACCTGAGTGTAACACACATGGCACATCATCAATAATGTTTTAAACAGATTTAGGACAGTAAATAAAAAACAATATTCCAAGCTTTGAATACATTATTGACCAGTTAGTCGTCTGAAATTGGAAGAATATTTCACAACTTGACACCAATACTGCCATCCATCTAAATTGATCATAGAAAACATCAGTCAGAGTAGCCAAAGAGATCTGGAGGAGCTGCAGAGATCCATAGGTTGCATTGTCAAGAGGACAACCATTAGCTGCATGCTCAGAAATCTACAAAAACAAAGCCATTATTGAACAATGTGATTTATTCTTAAAGTTTGCAACAAATCATGTGGAGGACATTGAGCAAGCTGCAGAAAGGAACTGTTTGCCATACATGTAAAACAATTTATGTAACACTGCAAATCATCCTGAAATAACCATCCCAAATGTCTGTCTGTCTATCTATCTATCTATCTATCTATCTATCTATCTATCTATCTATCTATCTATCTATCTATCTATCTATCTATCTATCTATCTGTTTACGTGGTGTTGGTCACTACATTTTCAGTGAGGGGGAAGTGTTAATGTGCCTGTTGGAGAGAGATAGCCCTTCCTCTTGCTCTCCTCATTATTTGCGGGTTCTTGACACCACGCATTTTCGCGACGCGCAGCAAATAATCACGGAGTCAAGGTATAAACGATCTGGGCTCCAATCCTGATTGAGATAATTGTCAAAAACCCCGTCGAAATCAAGCGACCGCAGTCAATGGTCGTTAATGCGAAATTAGCGGCTCTTGATAACTTGAGGCCGCATCAATTCCGCAGTCATCAGAGCCTAATGAAAATAAGCGGGGAGAGAATGCGGCGCTGCGTTCACGGCCCACTCTGATGCCTCCTCTGATAATTCTGGCCCCTGATGCTGCACTTGCTGCACATGGCACCGGCAGCTCGTTAACTCTTCTTTTCTTGACCAGAGTTCACTATAATTGTAATGTGATGGCCCTCACTCCTTTATTATTTTTCCACCGTGGCAGATAAAAAAAAAGGAAAAAGAAATGATTGCAGCATGAACTTTAAATGATCTTGCCGGGATTTTTTTTGTTTGTTTTTTGTTTTTTTGTTTTTTTGCACAGTTTCATAAATATCTTTAACTTTTTCTGGCTTAACCTCAGCAGCAGCAGTAGTAGTAGTTGCTTGTATATCAAATCAATATGTTGATTTTTACCCACGTTTTCGTGTCTTTCCTAATAATCAGCAGATCCCCAAGCTGGATTACAGAAATGACCAAGGTATGCCTTCATTAGCATCTAATAGACAGAAAGATCCAGAGGACAAAAATCACTGCATCACTAATTAGGTCCATAAATTAGAGGATGTGATGATGAGGGCTCTTCAGGAACTAGACATAAGAAGACCCGCGTGATTCAGAGCACAATAGTCGTGTATTCTACAATTATATTGTGCAGGGAAGAAGCTGAGAACAGGAAGTAATCTCAGTTTCATGGTGTAAATCCTTTTAATTAAACCTGTGGACTCTAGGCGATCTAGAGATTGGGTGAAGATGATGGGTCAAAGATGCTCCAACCCGGTGAAATGTTAAAGAAGAAGATTCAGGTTTACTAATCACTGACAGCAGAGTTGCAAGTAAATGGGTGATGTGTTGACACACTGAATAAATGTACTACTCAGATTAAAGGGCCTCTCTTTTGTAAGGGTTTTTACACATCTATGCAATGTGAGCAATGATTTAGCATCGAACTGAAAAGTGGTATCAAACACTTGATAATGGAAGATTATGTTCTTTCCAACAGACGGCCCAGAAAATCAAGTATGTCATAATGTCATATTTACTCATTAGTCAATCACACTGTGTAATCCACCTCATAAACTCTTTGTCTTAAAAAAAGATGTTAATGCTATGGAAAAACTGCAAACATCACTGAAGCAGCTCATACCAAATCTATTTTATTCATATTATTCAAGTGGAATAACATGAAGAGTAAATTTTAAAATGTCTAAAATGATGTTAAAACTAATGCATATCTTCATATTAATGGGCAAATGTGGCTCTGTGAGGATAAATTAAATAAGAGAAAAGGTGGATGACAAAAGTTTTAAAGTTTTGACACGACATCCATGATCTTATTTAGCATGCAAGCAAAACAGACAATGGCCTTTCTTAACCACAAATACATGTTTAACTTGCAGTTTAAACTACTGATTTTGATATGACCCCATGAACTCAGGTAAGAACAGAAGGGTTAACTCCACCGGTTTTAAACTTGGCTCTTGCATGGGGCGAGAAAGAAATAGCTCTAAAGTTATGCAGAAGTTATTCTTCATCCTTTGGGCCGTCCCTAATCCGCCAAAAACCCCATTCATTCTTCAGAGAACTGTGCCTCCTTTCTAGTCCCTCCTTCTCTATACAGCATAAAGTCAGACTGCATTTAATGGTTATGTCGGGATGGGAGAGAGGCTTTCTTCTTCCCCTTTTTCTCCAGAATATTGCCCTTTTCGTCCTGTGAGTCTCCCAACCCGTGGGGACCCCCATATTCTTCCCTTCTGCGTCTGACTCGCATCTCAAACTAACCCCGATTTTCACCACTTTGCTGGGAATCGCGGCGAGTGATAATAGAGATTTCTCTTTCATTTTATACGCTTGACTTAGTTATTGTTGCTTTTCTCCTCTCCCGTGATTCTCCTCTTTTCCAGGGATTAGCCCTGACTTCGCCCGCTACACTGGCCCGCCGAAGTGCCCCTGAGCCCCGGGTTGACAATTGACACAGATCAAGGCGGGCCTATTCTGTGCCTGTTTGAAAGGAGCCGAGCTGAGTTGGGCTCAAATGGAGGAGTTCTAATTGATGGAGACTAACAGATGCTCTTTAGTTTAATATCCTGCCAGAAAAGCAAACTTTATTCCATTTTAAGGTGTTCGACTCAAATGTTTGTAATACAGCTTAGCATGACAGGTGTAGAAACACAGATTATGAAGAAATTCATGGTGAACACAGAGGCAAAATAGCCAATTGATGTAAAAAGATTCCTTTATATGAGGTAATATTAAAAATATAAAGTTATCGTATTATTAAAATGCCTGCAAATTATTATTTTCTTCTGAAATTGGAGATTTTCAGAATAAATGACCATTTAAACTCACAATCCAAAAATGTTCAGAATGATAGAATTTTCAAAATAGCATTTGTTGTATTTTTACTATTGCACATAGTTTTTTGGCTTAGGTGCATTTTAAAACCCTTTTGTTAAGCATGTCCTTGTTCAGTCTATTTCACTTTAGTTGCTCTCATATTGAAGAGCTTTGTATTTAACTAATTGTCCGCCTGCCGCTTCTTGTGTGCCTGCATTTTGGTCCTTCAACCAACATCACCCTCAATATCACATCAAGAAAGTGGAAATATGGTAATGCAAAAAATGGATAAGGTTTTAGAACAAACCAGGTCAAGTAAGTAAATGATTACCACCTACTAAGAGGAAATTGGATGGTGCTGAAGCATTAAAAAGTGTCAGATTAGAACCAGATTTTATTTCCAGTTGCAGTCGGTGCATTTGAACATATTCAGAGACACGTTGCAGACAATCGGACATTAACTGATAGCCAGTATAGAACTAGATAAATGATGTCTCTTGTCCTTTTGTCCTTTTCTCTTAGTGAATCTTTCTAATTTTCATTATTAAAGAACAATCCTTTCACCTTCCGTCTCTGCATTTGGGTCCAACGTGAAACCAAAATATGGCAGTTGCTTTTGTTTCTGAATTTCTTTGTCACTTTTTAGTTTGATTCTTGATTAATGAAGTCACACCCTGCTTCTGGTTTGTATTAGTTTCTTGTTTCTGTGTCTTTGCTTCTCCTGGTTCCCTCTGGACTGGACTAGACTGGACTAGACAGTAATCACACTCCCAAGTATCTAAGTCTCTCAGATTGTTTGGTTTCCTCATGTGCTGTAAGCCTTTCCATCTTTTCCCTCATATCAAACCTCCATTCAGCCAGGACAACCTTAGTCTTGTTATCATTTTGGTCCTCAACAAACAGGACAGATAAACATGGAGTCTGCTACTCTACTGGGAGTTTATCTGGAATGATGTGTTTTCACCAGATGAGACTAAGACTGAGAAGAAAAAAACCCCCATCTAGACTGGATGACTGTTCATGAAAGCACCTCCTCCTCTCTGGTAAGTAAGGAGGATGATCTGTGATGCTGTGGGCTTGTTTCTCCTCCAAGCCCACACAATCACAGACCCTGAGAGATTTACTGTTTAATCAGCTGTTAAATTTGTGTAAGCCCAGAT